GACCAAAAGGAGCTGGGACACGTTGACCTTTGGAACCCATTGGAAAGTCCAATTAACTTCAAGGGCCTTTTCTGGGAGTGTCAGTTGAAGAAACAAAGAGCTCAGAGAAATGCTGGAACATTGTCATCAAATTGTTCTGAACGTCTCTATTTTTAGAAGGGTGAAGGAGAGGAGTTGAAGACAATACCTCGGAGCCCCAGCGCACAGGATAGCGGCAGTAGTCATGGGCCTCTTTCCACCCCAAGCCTGAGCCAGAGGAGGAAAGGGGGTGGTGATGATGGTGGTGGTAGTGTCTTTCTTTTCTTTTTTTTAAAATTTAATTTTTTTTTAAGAGTTGAAGTTCCATTTTCACAACCCCACCCCCATGGTCAGAAAATGAGACCCACAGATAGAGCTGAAGATAATGGCAGGTTGCCATGGAAATGTGCATTTAGTCCCACTGTTTCCATGGCAACTGAAAGACATACCATTCTGTTCCTCTGAAGGATGCCAAAGGTAAATGAGCACTGATTAAAACAGGGGCACAAACTTGGGCTCTAATCAACCACAAAGTCTACGGCCATAAACTCTTATTGCTCAAGCAGGAAATATTAAGAGCCGTACAAGTGCTGGGAAGGCCAGAGGCAGGAAGCACTGTGCACAAACTGCTCCCCACAGGGCAAGGAATCACAGCCTTGGAGTAATGGCCCATCTTGCTGTCATTCAGCTGCCTCACCGTGGTGTTTCTGTCCACGGCTGGATGCTAAACCCACCCCAAGTCTGTGCTCTACTGAGCTGTTTCCCGGGCAGGTATCTCTACTGATCAAAGTAAGTTGCAGCCTAATCATGGAAACCATGCAGAGCAAACATACTCCTCAGAACCCAGCAAGATCCAAACTGCACCGTTAATCCTATACCTAGCCCCTAACGGAATTTGGTTCAAGTATTCATCCTCTTTAAAAAAAAAAAAAAAAAGGCAATAAAAAAGATTACCCAAATGGAAGAGTTTGATACAATACAGGTGGCTGCAGTTTATTCTCACCAGTGCTCGGTCTCCTTGAATCATAGTTCTTTTTCCAGACTGGCTGAATCGTATCAAACACACCATTATGCAAGATTATCCCCTTCTCTGCTGCCAGTCTCTGGCAGCTACGGCCCGTTCCAGGGGAGTATGGTGAATGTGGGGCGAGAGCTTCGGCTGGCGTGCATGAAAACAGGCAAAGAGAACAAAACATCAAAATGGTGCACATCCCATCACATCCTCTGCTGATGAACCCAACTGCTGTGTTTGCTAGTGAAGAGTGTGTGGTTTGGTCCTCAAGCACGTGTTGTAGCAGCTCATCCTGGAAATACAGCACTCTTGCTCTGAATTCAATAAACTCCTCTGGCCAGTCCCAGCTAATGGTGTAAATAGTGGGGTTTATACCACTCTGTTTTTTTACTTCCAGCTGCCAGTGGATGTTCTAAACACTTGCAAGGCTGAAAACAGTCTTGATATAAAAGCACTTATTTGCCTTCACAGTGTGGGACATGGACAACAGAAGCCTTCTTTCATGCACTTCTGCCTTCCTGTTATTGCTGCCTCCACCATTCAATGACTTCTCCCCAGGTTCTGTCAGGCAAGGCCTAAGGAGGCAGGAAACTACACTACTGCGTCGGGGAAACAGAAGCCCCAGTGGGTATCATCCAGGGGATACTCCTCACCCCTACCTGTCTTCCCGACTCACCCAACAGCTCTGTACAGAGGTACAATTTCAGAAGGGAGAGGACTGAGCTTAGTGAAGCTTTGGAGATGAAAATTCAGGGGTGAGAGGGCCACTTGTTCCCCTGACATCCACCCTAGGCTGGCCCTCAGTCTCATAGGAGCCACTCACCCTCAAATGCTCTGCTTTGTAGCCAGTGATACCACACAGCAGCCCACCAAGGTGAGCACAGCATTCTCATGCATACCCCTAAACCACAAGAAAAGGGGCATGACAAAAATCTGCCATTTCTCTACCACTGCCTGGCTTGAAGGCTGGAAGAGGGACCCACAGTTAATAGGCAATGGTAGATACTTAATTTGAAGAACAGAGATAGAGTCACAGGCTGAGGATGTGCTGGTCGTCTTCTAACAAGTCCCTGCAGAGCTCCAACAAGCCCTCACCAAAGTGAGGATTTCTCTTCCATCCTCTTCTACCCGCCCGTCAGTGACACTGATGACTGTGCCCTTTTCCCTTGAAGTTTCATCTCAACATAGGTTTCCATAAATATCTTTCTTGATCATTCAGTCCTTGTCAGGTGGGTGAACTGAGAGAATCCTCCTTCTTCATGTGGGAGCAGAGAAAGATTTTCCACTGCAGTTTCTCATTTGCCATGAAGCGAAGGCGGCACCTCCAGCTCCGTACTCCTGCTTTTTCTCGGTGGTTCAGTACAAGGGCTCCCACCTATCTCCACACTACGGACCCCTCACAGGACAGCCTTGGCAGCCCCTCACTGCCCAGGCGGAACTGAATCTCCCGTCTTATCTTCTGTACCCTTCTCTAGGCACTGCTGGTCTTGCCCCACAGCCTACAGTGTGGTGCCACCTTTCCCCTCTAAGGCTATTCAGTGTACAAACCTTGACAGGTATTTTTTTCCCCTCTCCCATAGGAGCCAGCATCTAGCCTTTTCTGCCTACACAGCCAAAATTCACCAAGGTCACCTTCACCCCCCTCTGCTAACATGATCCCCTTTGCTGACTTCCTAGCATGGACAGAAGTTTTCAATTTCTGGTGTACTGATCGACTTTTTTAAGAGTCAGGAAGACTCTGGAGGTGACAGACAGCCTTTGCACCCATTCCCTACCGGGAACTAGAAGGCTAGTAGCTTTGGCCAGTAGGTTACTGCTGCTCCCAAGAAGTAGGACTAGGAGGCCAAGAGCAACATGTTGTACAACTGGAACCTCTCCAGCTCCTTAGCAGTGTCTCCATCTAGAGACCACACTGCTGCAATACCAGATGAACTCAGCTCCAGCCTGCCTCCCGAACCGACAGCTGCAAAGAAACTTTTGCCCTTGCCTAGGTCCTGTGGGGTGCAGATCCAGCCTCACCCCTGCCAGAAGTCGAAATGCCTGTATAGAAGAGCAGAACTCCCAAGGAGTAAGGGGTCCACCTAGCGCAGTTAGAGCAGTACTACCAGAACCGCAGGCAAAGCAAGCCACACCAACATGCAAGCTTCCCCTTCAGCCCAGCAAGGCTCCCCGTTTTGCTGGTGAGGACCCAAAGCCTCATCCTCTGTACAGTCCCTGGGAGGGAGAGGCAGATTCTCTGAACGGAGTGGCACTCCACATGGACAGCACTTGCCTGACTTACCTCACCAGTGTAGAGTGAGTGAAGGCAGGTGGAACCCGGCTAGGTTGAACAGACATGGCACATTCACCTTTAGTAAGAACAGTAATCCCAGATAAAGGCTGTGTGCTTACAGTGCTGAAAGCAGGCTTTAGTTGAGGGAAAAAAGCCTTGGTAGCTGCTATCTTCCCAGCCCTACTGCTGCACTTTTATTTCCCATAGAAGATCCCAAAAGAGACTTGACCAAGGTTGGACTGCTTGAAATGGATCAAGAACAGGTCTGTACTTCCTGGTTCAGAAACCAATTCCTCCTACCAACTTTCATTGCTCAATTATCCCAGGCGAAAGAATTTGAGTTTATCTAATGTGTCTTCTACCTACACAAGCTTGCATGTGTTGCACTTTTCAAATGCAGTTCTGGCTGGCATCACATTCCAGATCTGGGAGCATAAGGGTAGGGCCAAAACATCCTGCAGGGGTTTAGACAAGTCTTTTGATCTTTTAGTCCTTTTTACAAAACAGGACGGTGCTATGTCCAGCTCCCTCTGATAGCAACATAACTAGGTAGAACGAGCTGCTGCTCCAAATCCCATCCATATTCCCCACGTGGCAATGTCTGAGCAGATCGCATATGAACTCCTGTAATATCTATGGATGAAACTGAAGCCAGCCGGCTATCAACTCCCTGAGCGCTAGAAATCAATAGGCAAATCAGTGCTGTACATATGCACTGCTGATTAGTTTAGAAAGGCATCTGGGAAGCTTAACAACAAAAATGCCTATGGCATAGAGTCTTTAAAAGCTCATGATTTGCCATAAGCAGTTTCCTTGAGACCAAAGTCATGCAGTGCTCCCACACTCACATGAAAGACTTGAGTCTTAGACAATTTGGTTATGATCAGATAAAACACAAGAGAGGGAACAAAAATAGCTTCCCCATCTCTCCTTTCACCCAGAAGCAGGTGAATCACTTTGATTTAAAAGACATCTAGTGGCGAATAAAAAACTACAGAAAACAACTAATCAAAAGGATGTTATTCTGGAAACTTCTGCGTTTCCCATGGAATGGGAGTTTCAGAAAGGAAAGGAGCTATTTCATTCTTTCTTCAAACCAGGCACAAGTTAGAGATTAAATGGTGAAGCAAGTTATGGAAAAGATTCTTAGACAACTAAGTGAAAAGGACTTGGGGACCCTCTAGTACTCCAGATCCTCTTCTGCCTGTGTCACCTGAACTTCCTTTCCTTCTGGCAAGGGAAGGCAGATAACACACTATGAAACCCGAGAGTTTGTATGACCTAAAATTCCAAGCCAGGCTTAGGAACAGCCTAAAATAGCACTGGGAGATGGAGGGCACTGTATTTTATTTTTACATATATACAAGCTTTTTCTTTTTTTAAAAAATAAAAGAAATAAGCTATTAATTCTTCCTACCTCCATTTTTTAGCTTCACTTACTCTGAACAAGTAAAAACTTTCATCCCAGAGACTAACAGCAAACCTCTGCAGGTTCCTGGGACTGAGAGAAGCCTGCTGGGTAAGAGAGTGAAGTACCTGGAAAAACCGACTGTGAGTTGGGGAGTGGAAAGTGAGCAGCCCTGGGAGGTGTATGGGAGAGAGACTGCAAGTCCCATTCAGCTGGAAGACAAGGGATGAGCAACAGTAGCCTGAAAGAACCCAAATTCTACCCACATGGGAATGCACAAGCAATACCAATCAATCTCAAAGACTTTTTTTTTCTAAGAACTTTCAATAAACACACACATATATATATACACAGCAGTCTCTTGCAGAGACAAGCCAGTTAAGTGGTTCCACATTCAGGATAGGGTAGGCGAGTCAGCGCCACCTGGCTGGTGGTTCACAAGGCGCTGAAGATACTCCTGTGTGCATGCTCACAGCTACTTCAGGTTTCTGAAGGGACGGCCAACAAGTCTTGGAGACAGGCTCAGTGCAGACACACACACAGCTGGAGTCACGTGTAACAGCTGTGTTACAGGGTAAGGGAGATGACAGGGACCAGCTGGGAAAAGAACCCACAAAACCCCTCTGAAGACTGCCAGGAAGCATTTGCGGACAGCGTCCATCCATATGAAGTCCAGTCAGATTTTGACAGAGAAGGAAGTCCCACACGAGCAACCCTTCTCTGCCTGGGGGTTGCTCACCACCTGGAAGGAGCTGCGAATCAGCTCCTGGCTGAAGTCCACCATGGAACCTTTCACAAAGGCCAGGCTGTCCACATCCACGACCACACGGGCACCACCTTGTTCAAACACCCTGCAGAAAAGCAGCATATTAAACCATTAACTGTGCTGCAGACCTGACAGAGAAGCACAGCCTAAGCACTTCCCTTATCTCACAGGCTTCTTCCCTTCAATGCAAGGCACTATCGTGTCATGCACACCCTTCTTGTCACCTTTGCAAAGAACAGTCACACCTGACCACCATTACACCCCTTTGCCCTTGCCTGTCATCGGGATTGACAACTGTGTCCAAGGAAAACTTGTACTGGAATCCAGAGCAGCCACCTCCTTCCACCTGCAGCCTGAGAAACTCTGAGCCTTCTGTGATCTCCAGTAGCCTCTGCAAAGAAGTATTAAAACACCTGCTAAACAAACTGACAAACACTCAAAACGCCTCCCCTGTGTGCCCAGGGCAGGCTAGGCAGTTTGGAAAACCCTCCCAGAGGCACCAGAGCTGCCTCCCGGGATCCCTACCTTCACGCAGCTCTCGCTGAGGAAGACCTGTCCCTCGCTGGGGTCGCTTTCTGTCG